TTATATGGTATTCGGGTTTAGGTTTTGTAAATAATCTGGAAACAAGCAGCCACCAGTGTGCACAAAGTGACGCTACAACGACTGCCCTCCAACCATTTCAGCCACAAGAGCAGCCAAAAAGCACTACACATGGGCTATTTCAACACGATCGCTCATAAAGACTTCGTTCATTTCACCGATTCAAATTTTATTACAGTAAAAAACTCTCAGAAACAGTCACATCTAACTTTACTATAATAAAAAGTTATCACATAAAATCACATCTCAACTCAAATTAAAAATTCGAATCAGCGAACTAAACATGTTCAAAATGCTCAGCACCGATTGTGCCCAAAAGACTATTCAAGACCACAACCAAGACGAAAAGGGCTGCTACTAGCTCAATGTATTAGAATCAATAAAATATGGACTGATTTGGATTTTGGATTATTTTGTTGATATGTGAATGTTGCTATTTTGTGGTTGAATTAATATTGTGCATGCAATTATTGTTATGGTTATCACCAAATCAGGTGGATATATTAGAATTTAAAAACTCATACTTTGGATTGTGAGAGTTTTTAAATTTTGTGGAATATGTATTTGATATTAATGATAACGTAAATAGAAGCACTTTATGACCATATTGCTTTTCTTATCAGTTTGTTCATGTTGACAGTTTTTCTTTTTGTAAAAAGCATACAAAAAAAACCTTGAAACTATTCTAGTGAAAAAGTGAAATATGTAAGCACGTGTCTTCAATGCAGTACTATAATATTAATGTGCTAATTATTAATTTAGTATTTGAGTGTAAAATAATACTTTCTAACGCAATGTAAATTATTGTGTTAAACTTATCATATACTATATTTTATGACAAATTTTTTACCAAATATAACATATGCTAAATTTGACACCTAATTCTTATTGGTTAATATGGTTAATTTTTTCATTTAATCATTACACTGTTTGCTTTTTTAAAATTTTTTAATATTAAAAGGTTACTTTTACATCTTTTAAAGTCGAATGATTATAGACCTTTAGATTAGAAAAAAAAATTTAGGCTTCATTCGTTTTGCGGATTTGAGTTTTCAATTCGAGCTAGATGTGACATTTTTCTGAGAGTTTTTAACTGTAACAGAAAAAGTGTAGAAACCTAAAACTGAAAACTCGAATCAGTGAAATGAACAAGGCCTTAATAATTCCAAGAAAAGTAGACTTTAATATTTCAAATAACATTATGCATTTGAGAATAAATAAAAATAAATGTGCTGTCATACTTTTTTGTGTCAAATATACAATTGTCATTAACTTTTACTTCAGAGATAGTATTAACTGCACCTTCAATTATTGCCATGTCGTTAAATTTGTCCATCAAATCAAGACAAACTTAATAACATTTAAAAGTTAGGGAGTATGTAGACTAATTTGTAAAGTTTAGGGGATGAAGTATCAAACATAAAATTTATTTATTATTTTCATCTTAAAAATTTAGTTTATATAATTTTTAAAACTTAATAATTATGATAAAAAATAGATATATCATTTGAAAAATAATTATGCATCAGAATATAAGTAAAAATGACATATTAAATATGTCATTTTTACACTTTTTAATACCAGTTATTTAGAGATGGTTTAACTTTGGTCTTAGTTTTATAATATGGCCGTTTTGCTACAGAATCTTTAGGAAGTTGTGCTACATTTGTTAGGCCCTTTTTTTACCCAAAAAAATAATAATAATAATTTCCCTTAAATAACTTCCTATTATTTTTTTTAAATGGGTAATATATTCAAGATCAAGGAAAAAAAAGCACCATTCGTGACCTATATAGCCTCGAATTACAAGAAAATCACGATCGCGATAGACAACTAATTTTATCAGTAAATTTTAATAAAATACTCAAAGAAGAATAAATTTGTATCAAGTTTTGAAATGAACACCTAAATAAATACACCAATAATGCAAACACATATATAGCTCTTTAACAATACCTTTAAAATCATAAAAAAAAAAAAAACTGGTCAATCAAAATTTGGAGAACCGTAGCACCAAAACACACAAAACACCATTAAAAAAATTAGTAGACTGAAAACACAACCTAACGCTAGAAAACAAGACAACCACACTATAAAATCAAGGTAAAAACCACCACTTTTCCAATCTACAACACAGAGAAACCAAAAAAAAGAAAAAAAATCCCAAGCACAGCTGATAAGATCTCTACTGATAAGATGATAAAAAATAAATTTAGTATTTGAAATAACACAAATAATAAGAAATATTATATATGTCATTTTTATATTTTTAATGCTAATATACTATTGCCATTAATAATTACAGTGGAGATAATTTTAGCAATCCGTAAGAAAAAAGCGAAAAAAAATTGTATATGTCAAATAAAAGGAAAAAAGAAACGCATCAACTAAATGTGCAAGTATTTCTAGTTTATTTTTTCAAAGAAAGCTTCTTTTTTTTTTCTTCTTTTTTCTTTTAAAATGATGAAAGAAACCTTAAGCACTTATAAAAGCAAAATATATATATATATATATATATATATTTGGTGAGGAAGCAAGATATATTTATGACTGTTAGAATTACAAACAACGAAAGCTTCTTTTTTTTTTCTTCTTTTTTCTTTTAAAATGATGAAAGAAACCTTAAGCACTTATAAAAGCAAAATATATATATATATATATATATATTTGGTGAGGAAGCAAGATATATTTATGACTGTTAGAATTACAAACAACGGCTGTCTGATACTTCATGTTACGGTGAAAAACAATAGATTTTATTAGGTTTTTGAATTTTTAAGCCTCATTCACTTTGTAGATTTGAGTTTCTTTAAGTTTCTGCTATAAATAATGTAAGATTGACGATGTCTCAAATTAATCAGTCTAGTGGTCCCACAAAATCTATACCTAAAAATTGCCGGATGAAAAAGAAGAATAAGTGGACGACGAGAATCAGCTATTATACTTGAAAATATGAGAATTGTAATAGTGAGTCTTTTTTTATCAACTCAATGCCAAAGCAAAATAAAATTAATTCGTTTTATTTTTACTTTATCCCCTGCAAAAGCAATAATAAAAAGCCTCAAGTTCAACTCTAAGAGCCTTTTTAGATTGGCTTAAAAAAGTTATTTTTAACTTATTTAGCCCAAAAATTGTTTTAAAATTTTAGATGGACAACATAAAAATATATATTTTTTTTCATAAACTCAACCTCTCAAGTGCTTGTAAAAAAAAGAGCTTATAAAAAGCCCACGTTTTTTTTTATTTACTTGCACAATTTCTCGGAAAATATATATCACGGATTCATATTGTCTAGATGGTACTTAGGGCCAGATTGATAGTGCTGTAAATTTTAAAAAAAATACTTTTAATTATATTGAAGGAAAAAACAGTTGTTACAAAAAGTAGTTGAGTGTCTGGTAAACTGTAATTATATAAGTGTTGCTGGTTCCAGAAGGAGTGTAATAGCGTTTGGTAAATTGTGAGATTAAATTGTTGTGGGCAGTTAAGATGACCGTAATTAATAATCTTAAATTAATATATAAAGTAATTGATAATTATTTAACAAATAAAAATTAATATATTAATAATATAATAATAATGAATAAATTATCATTAATGAGTAAATTAATAATTAAGCTATATATATAATAAATTAATATGCTAAATAATTTTAAAAAAGCAATAAGTAATTAATTATAAGTAATTATTATGTTAGTAATGTCCTCATATTTATTAGATTATAAGCAATTAATTAGTGTATTAAGAAAAATAATCAGTATATACATAATTTATTAATATTCTTTTTACTCTTTAAATTATTAACTTTTAGTTACATAATTAAACAATTAGTTAATTAATTACTAATTAATAGATTATAATTAATATAATATATGATTGATATATCAATTACTTATTTAGGGCTTGTTCTTTTGAGTGAAAAACTCAAAAAAATACAACTTGAGTTACAATTGGCATGTTCTTTTGTCTAAAAAATTCAAAAAAAGACAACTCGAGTTCTAACTTTATTCAAGTTCACGTTCTTTTAAGTTTTAACTTTATTCAACTTTACTCAACTTTATTCAAGTTACAACTTCAACTCAAGTTATCTTGTTCTTTTGAGTGAAAAACTCAAAAAAATGCAACTCAAGTCTCAATTTTATTCGAGTTCATATTCTTTTAAGTTTAAACTCGAGTTCAAACTCGAGTTTAGGACTAAAACTCGAGTTCAAGTTTCCCCTCCAACTCGAGTTCAGAAACTCAAACTCAAATTAATGAACAGTATTTTTTTTATTCTTAAAAATGCTATAACTTTTTCGTTTTAATTCTGATTGAGATGATTTTTTTTCTATGCGTTGACAACGAAAAGACGAATAAAACCCGACCCATATACCCTATTAAAATTTTTCATCAGCATTGAGTTTTTATTAAAATACTATCTAAATACAAATTCAAGTTTTGATTAACTCAAACACAAACTCAAAAAGATTATTATCTCAAACCATAACTCAAATGTACACAACCAAACACAAACTCAAGTTACAAGTTCAACTCAAGTTATAACTCAAATTCAACTCAAGAATTATACTCAAGTTAAACTCTAAAAGAACAAGCCCTTAATAACCTATTACTACTTGTTTATGGTTAATATGTTATATAATTAATTTTTAATAATTAATCTTTAACTAAATAAATAATTACTATATTAATAATTATTTTATTAACAAAATTAAAAACTTAATAATTAATTATAAATTCTTAAAATTTTTTTTAAAAAAACTTTTTATAATTTTATCGAATATCATTATCAATTTTTAAGACTTATTTAATTTATTAATTTAAATTTTTAATTTAAATTAAAATATAATTTTATGTAATAATTTTTTATTCTAATAAAAAATTAAATATAATTATTTTTAAAAACTTTTTATCATAATAAATTTAAATTATAAATTTAAATAGTAAAATAAACGTACTCCTAATATTGAAGCCAAAAACGTACTCCTAAAAATGATTTAGCTCCGACAAGCACTACCAAACGTAGCAGCCTTAGACCTCAAAAAGTTATCACCTGGAAATTATTGAAGGCCAAAAGTCTCTCCTCTTTCAAGCTCTCCGCCCAATCCTCTCCCTCCTCGTTCAGAGAGAGCTCCACTCAGCTTCCATCAATGGCGTCAGTTCTCAACACAGTTCCCTCCCTACGACTATCCAACATCAACACCTCACGAGTTCGGCCTCGCCCCATCGCTACGCCGCTTTCCGTTTCATTCACCAGTGAGTTAGTTAGCTCACTTATTGCCCCGTTTGGTTGCCGAGAAAATTCAAATGTTGTTAGAAAAACAAAAAGAACTAAGCTTCAAGTCAAAAAAAAAAAAGAGGAGTTATTTTCAAGAGCCGTTTATTTCTCCTTTTGGTCTCAGGGAAAAATTCAACTTCTTGGTAAAATTCACCTTTTTGACTTCTTTATTGTTCAACTATTTTTCAATGCCGCTGAGAATTTGTCAGCTTTTCAGGGAGGAGACTTACGATTAGGGCAGCAGAGACCGATGCGGATAAAGGTCTTCTGAGCTTCTAAGCTACTCTCTCTCTCTCTCTGTGTTTTTTTTTTTTTTTTCAAGTTTCTTTAGTTAATTTATAGTTATATTTTTTTATTTTTAATATAGCTTTAGATGAGAGTGAGATGAAATGAGGGGATTGGGGTTTAGTTGATGACTATTTATGCTTAGCAGTGAAATCTAAGGCGCCGGCCGGCAATGGGTCGAGCTTCAACCAGCTTCTTGGGATTAAAGGAGCTGCTCAAGAAACTGTACGTCATAAATTTTGGATTCAATTTAATAATTGTTATATAAATTCTATTAAATAGTCTTCAAAAAATGTTCAGCTTATTACAGTTTTTAATATACAGATTCTAGTCAGAAAGAACTTGTAATTTCTAAATTATCATTAAACCCGCTATAAGAACTACTGCTAGTTCAAATGTGCAGTAAATCGTACCCATTTCAGAACTATAGCTATATCCCAAAAAAGAGAAGATAAAAATAAAAATTAAAAGAAAATTTTGAATTGTATGACATGTGAAAAGGTGAAGACTTGTAGAGTTTGATTGTATGAGTTGGAATGTTCAGAATAAATGGAAGATTCGTCTTCAGCTGACAAAGCCTGTCACTTGGCCGCCGTTGATTTGGGGAGTAGTTTGTGGAGCTGCTGCTTCTGGTACTTACTTTGCTTACAATAGATATAAATCGTTTGTGATACATGTAATTTTCTGAATTAAATTCCAATTTAAATTGATTTGTGCAATTTTCCGTCCATTACTCGGACGAAAATACAAGATGATAATATGCTAACCACTGTTTAATGGTTTGATTTTATCTTATTTTTACTTTAAAAACTTAAGCTATGTGTCCCTGTAGAACCAGAACTGTTACTATATGCCTATTATTTAACACTCTGGGAGCATATATCCAATACCATGATATGGATTTGATCAGACTAGTAAATGCTCTCATCACCGAAATACAGCTGTAATGTTTCGTGAAATGCTCTTATCTATAGCATGAATAGAACTTTTTCACTTTGCAGGAAATTTTCACTGGACTCCTGAGGACGTTGCCAAATCAATTGTTTGTATGATGATGTCTGGTCCATTTCTCACGGGATATACACAGGTCCCTTATAGTGAATATACAAACTTGATATTAGTGTTGATTGACATTTTACTGACATGTTATACTCAAATGACCTCTCTGGTCATTTCATTTTTTCTCTTTATTTAGACAATCAATGATTGGTATGACCGAGAGATTGATGCCATCAATGAACCCTATCGTCCAATTCCTTCAGGGGCAATATCCGAGAATGAGGTAGAAGTTTGATTAATATTACTACAGTTGGATTGATATGCACATTTTATTTAAGATAAGTACCTAAACCTCCCGTGTCATATGAAAAACTTTCCTTTTGACAAGATTTGGTCAAACTCCCGTGCAAAAAGACCATTTTAACTACAAGATTGACCAAATTGCTCAAACTCAAAGTTTTCTGAAGTTTGTTAAAATGGTCTTTTCTTCACACCCTAAAAATTTGTCAAAAAGGAGGTTTCGATTCTTTGAACATGAAATTAAAACACTATTGATGGTTGTTTCATCCTGAAAAGATAGGGTAAAACATGACTTTTAAGGCATTTCAATAAGAGACAGAGGTGGTTTAGTTACTTATCCTTTTTTTTTTTTTTTTCCAATTCTATTCTATATTATTTTTATTTCAAATTCTGCCAGGTTATTACGCAAATCTGGGTTCTACTTCTAGGAGGCATTGGCTTGGCTGGTCTGTTAGATGTTTGGGTGAGTGGGTTAAACAATAGGTACTTTGCTTTTCTAAGAAAATGCTTTCATGGATATAGACTCATGATCTTACTCATCTATAGGCAGGACATGACTTCCCTATAGTTTTTTACCTTGCTTTGGGTGGATCCCTGCTGTCTTATATATACTCTGCACCACCTTTAAAGGTATTTTCTTTTTCCTCATGTTTTAGAGCTAACTTTCTCTGATTTTCAAGGAGGCGTAAATCCTCAATCCTGATTATGCTCCATACTTGTTGCAGCTGAAACAAAATGGATGGATTGGAAATTTTGCCCTTGGAGCTAGTTATATCAGTTTGCCTTGGTGCAACATCCTCACTCTTCTTAAGATCCTTGATCTTCATATAATTGAAGCCATCAAATTTGAGATATAGTCTTTGAGTTGTTGACACATGATGAAGTTTATGAGTTTATGATCCACCATTTTTTATGATTGCATTCAAAAGATTTTATCATGATGTTTTAGAGAAGTATTTATCTAGTTTTCTTTTTGTGGAGGTTTGGTTTTTTGTTTTATTTTATTTTATTTTGACAGAGAGAAAGAAATAAGAGCCTAGCAGAGTTTTGACCATCAAATCAGAAAAGTAGAAAAACACCTAAATCTTTCTTGAATTATATGACCTTTTTTGTGTTAATTACCTAGACCAAGGAGTGTTAAAAATGACGATCATTACCAATTTCATTTGTGAGGTTTGTGCTTTTAAGTAAAACTTTATCCTTCTTATTTAAAGCCATTAGATGTTCACAAATGTGATGGTGGTGTGCAAGTTATGGGCTGTACCTAAGCTTCTAAGATTGATTATCTTTGTCCTAGTTTACTTAACTCTTATAGCTAATTATAAACTGATTAAAAATGAGAAAAGCTGTATGAGCTGTCTTAAATGTATATGATGTTGTTATAAGAAGTATTATGTTGATCTCCTATTGATAGGTGGGCTGGTCAAGCTTTATTTGGGACCCTTACACCTGATATAGTTGTTCTCACGCTCTTGTACAGTATAGCTGGGGTATGTGTTGCACATAAGTATGTGTCTTGATGTATGTGTCACATAATTTGGTCTAACTGAACACGTTACTTTTTCAGTTGGGTATCGCCATTGTCAATGACTTTAAAAGTGTTGAAGGAGATAGAGCACTGGGACTTCAGGTCTTAAATATTTTTCCTTCATAATTTTCTAAAACGTCCTTAGAGGCTGACACTATTACTAATTATTTGTTAATGCTGTTTTCAGTCGCTCCCTGTAGCTTTTGGTGCAGAAACTGCTAAATGGATTTGCGTTGGTGCAATTGACATAACTCAATTATCTGTGGCTGGTAAGTTTTTTGTGTTTTGACGTTCTTTCTTTTTTCTTGATAAATTTTTGCTTATTATAAAAAGAAAAATCACATTGCTTCAAGTTCTTTCTTTCTTTCAAAATTTAAGTTTTGCTGGTAGTTTATAACAGTACTGCCTTTTTCTGTTCAAGAATGTTTATGTACTAAATTATGGCATTAGAAACTACTCAAATATTATTATTATTATTATTATTGTTATTTATTTTTTTATAGGAAACGAAAATTTCATTAATCAAATGAAATCTTTACAAAAGTTTTTGGACGGATGAGAGATCCATCCTCAATTATTATGTTATCTTATCCATAACTTAGAGGAAGAATGTCTAAAACAGATGAGCTTTACCTTGTCTATGGAAATATATACGTAGGTATGGGCATTCCAAGCAGTAAACTTGTAAAACCTATCAATTAAATATATAGGTCCAAGATTAACTTGCTTACTTGACATATCATTTTTCCTTGCGCTCTGAAGACTGCGAAAGAAATATGGGGTGGGAATTTGTTAACATGCTTGGTCCTTTCTGACTGTCTCTTTGCGACTCTGGGCTGACATTTTTATTTTATGGAAAACAACATAATTCAGACACATTTATCAGAACAATGAAGAGTAATATCTATTGTCAAACTTACGTTCATTTTTGTTAGTTATATATTTTTAAGTCGCCTTTGAAGTGAATCTCATGAGAAGATAAATTTTAGTGGCTTGCTTCTGATTATCACCTATTTTGATTGGCTGATAAAACATGATAGAGTATTGTTTTCTGCATCTAGTTAAAGTGGAAAGACATGAACGTATTTCGGACTTCCCTAAACTGAAAAGCTGGGGAGTGCCTTTATATATATATATATATATATTTTTTTTTTTTTAGAAGAAACAAACTTTATTGATTATTTAGGAAAGGGGAGGGAGGAAGAATTATCCTCACCAAACCAAACCCAAAAATACAATGAAGTTTATGACCGCAAACGAAGCAGTAGCTTTTCCATAAAACAAGAGTAAGGCTGAATAAAAGGAGCCCAACTCCTGATAAAATCCAAAAAAAATAGGTCTACTGAACTCTTTGGCCCTATAAACCCACAATGAAACCCAATACTTTATTTTATCCCAAAGAAAATAGCCATCCTCATGATCCTCGAAAATCCTGTTATTCCTTTCTAACCATAAACCCCAAAAAGTAGCTGAAATTGTAGCCTTCCATAGAATGACTCCCCTTTGGCTGAAGCTTGATGGGGGAGGAAACACCAGTAGCTCTCTACAACTTCGAGGTATGACCCAAGTGAGACCGAACTTCTTCAACACCAAGGACCATAGAAGTTGGGAATAAGCACAATGAAGAAATAGATGATCTGCTGATTCTCCACTGTCCTTGCACAAACAACACCAGCCTGGAGAGATGGAGAGATAAGGACTTCGACGCTGCATCAAGTCACGAGTATTTACCTTATTTAGGGTGAGCAACCAGCAGAAAACCTGAACCTTGATGGGGGTCGAGATTTCCAAATGTTCTCGTAGAAGTCAAAACTCGCAACTGACAAGTCGGCTGTCAATGAAGAAAAAAGTGATTTCACTGAAAACATACCACTACTTTCAGACGCCCACTCCCTTCTATCATGAATTAGATGAGTAATTCTTATTCTCTCCACATTCCAATTTACTCAGAAACCTCCCTATCTGTTAAATTCCTTGGGAATCTGAAATCCCACACTATTCGTCCATCTTCATGATCTTCGATCTCCGCTACAAAAAGTGATATTGGCTGATTTTGGAGGGGAGGAATTCTATACAGATGAGGAAATCTTAAACATAATGGACCGCCTTCAATCCAATAATCTTCCCAAAATCTCACGATTTCTCTGGAGCCAACCTTCCACCTGACCTGTTGGGAAAAACCTACAAATGCTGACTGAATTGACTTCCATGGGCATCTAAAAGTTACTCTTGAAGCTTCTCCTGTATTTTGAGCCAATCCATCTTTCCCTGCAACCACCCTATACCATAACGAATCAAATTCCAAAGGAAACCTCCATAGCCATTTTGCTAGCAAGGCCTGATTTCTCTTCCTCATATTGCCAATGCCCAAGCCTCCCACTTCTTTTGGTCTAGAAACCTCATTCCAAGCCACCAAATGAGTTGCACTATCTTCAGAGAACCCCTCCCAAAAGAAATCTCTCATCTCATGAGTTTCTCAATCATCTCTGCTACTGCAACAGGGATTCTAAATATCGACATAGTAGACAGGCACGGCAGATAAAATTGACTGAATAAGAGTCAGGGTCCGTTTGGTAGTGATTTTCAGAGCCCAAAAGTGATTTCACATCCATCCACAACTACTTTTAGCGTTTGGTAAAAAGTGCATAAACCAATTCTAAGAGAATTTCAGCTAAATGAGCAGCTAGAAGCGGAAGCGGCAATTTTGATGCTTCTACTTTTAGATTCCCGGTCAATCACTTGATAGCATTAATGATAATTTTATAATACCACAAATACCCCTAAAAACTTTTAAAAATGACTAACTGTGTCCTTATTTACCCTTACAGACTATAATCTTGCTTTATTCCCCTCCACCCAAAACTCCTATCTCTTCTTTTTTCCTTTTTTTTTCCTTCGTACTTTGCTATGACACATTGATTTTGGCTACACCATTAGATGATTGGAGATCCTTTCCGCTCCGTTGTTTGTGACTTTTCAAATTTTCTTGGATTTCCAAGGTATGTAATAATAGTGGCTCTTATGAGATTGCTTTGTGAGGTTTTAATATTGTTACTCACGTGTGGTTTAGTTGTTATCATTTACATAAAATTTGATGGGAAAATATTCTAATTTTGATTAGAAAATGAGGAACAAATTTATGTTATTTTTTTGCTCATAACTAAAGTATTACCCTATATATATATATATAAAACAAACAAGTATTTGTTTGATAGAATTACTATATTTATATATTTAAAATTTTATGGTATGTCTATTTTGATCATTTTAACACCTCACATCAATTCAACTATACAATTTACCAAACACTATTATCCCGTTGTTAGAATCAACAACACTTTTAAAATCACAGTTTACCAAACACTTAGGAGCTTTATGTAATAGCTGATTCTCTCTTCAGCACAGCTGAAAGCAATTTTTCTAAAATCTACAGTAATACCAAATTGGCTCCTAGCCTTCCTCCTTTTGACGGGAATGCTTTTCTCCACCCATACAATGTCTTTGCTACTCTAGCTACTACCGGATTCCAGAAAGATGACTGTAATGGGTTCCCGCCCAATGATAAACTCAAATATTTGACCAGCCAAGATCCTACTGAGCGTCCAACAATACCAGCCAACCTGGATAGCCGCCCTTCATCAATATTTACACCCATAATAATGCTTTTATCCAGATTTGTCTTCATACCCGAGACTAATAAAAAAATCTCCAATATCGAGGTTAAGTTCATCAAACTTTCCTCCTCTGGTGAGCTAAAAAACAATGTATCATCCACGAATTGGAGTTGACTTATCTTCACATTCGATCTGCCCACGCTAAGAGGAGACAAAAGAGAGGCACTGACAGCTCTGTCCACTAGCCTACTCAACACGTCAACCACCAAAGTAAACAGATGAGGATAGGGGATCCCCCTGTTGCAACCCTCTTGAGGCTACAAATTTGCCCCTTGGCCTCCCATTAATCAACACAGAGTAGTTAACAGAGCCAATACACCCCGCAATCCACTTTCTCCACCTAGCGCCAAACCCTTTTCTCTCCATCGCAATGCTCTATATAGTCTTCCACCACCTCATTCGCAGTCAAAACCAAGTCTAATATGCGCCTCCCTTCAACAAACGCTTCATGAATTTCTGAAATCGTCTCCTTTATACCTCCTTCATCGGTAACACCTTTGATATAATTTTATATAGGCCCGTGACCAAACTGATAGGTCTGAAGTCCATAATTTTACAAGAATTTACTTTTTTTGGTATCAAACAGATATATGTCTCGTTGGTAATATTATTAATGATACTGATAAGAGCTGAACAGATTCGAGAACAAAACCAAGAAGAAGATTGAAAAAAGAAGATGAATTCAACTAGAGAACTTTATTGATGACAACAAATGTACACTGAAATGCGGATCTTTGAGGGTCCGCTACCTCCCCGTACTTGGAATGGTTCCAAGATTTTTACAACAAACTGATTATCCCCAATGATCCCTTCTTTTTGTTTTTCTCACCCTTTTATACATTTCCTTATTCATTAACTACTAACACTCTTCCTTAGTAAGCTACTAATACTAACAATCTTTCACAGTAAGCTATTGACAGCCTCCCCAAACCAGAACCCCACTTCCTAGCCCGTTTATTCTTCCTAATATACACTTGCTTGAGTAAGGGCTTATCAATTACACCCCCGCTCAAAAAAGTCACCTTGTCCTCAAGGTGGAAAGCCGAAAATTGGCGCTGAATAACCTCAAACAGCTCCCACGAAGACTCAAAGTCAGGAAGATGGCACCATTTGATCAGAACCTCCAAGGAACCACTGGTGGGAGAGAAACGGGTATCCAGGACCTGGTCCGGTTCAACTTGCAACGTCAAATCCTCAGACAAGATGGGAGGTAAAGATTGACGAATATCCACAGAACCAAGAGCCTTCTTCAAATGGGAAACATGAAAAACAGGGTGAATCCGAGCATGGGAAGGAAGTTGTAGCCGGTACGCCACTGGGCCGACGCGAGCAAGAATCTGAAAAGGCCCGTAACAGCGAGGCGCAAGCTTCTCATTCACCATACACACCAACACTCGATGTCGATACGGCTGGAGTTTCAGAAAAACCATGTCTCCCACTTCGAATGTCACGGAGCGACACTTCTTGTTGGCATGGTCTTGCATAGACTGTTGAGCGCGGCCCAAATGGTCTTTCAATTCAGCCAAAAGCGCATCTCGATCGCATAGTTGCTGCTCCAATTCCGATGTAGTCGGGGAACCGGCCTCATAAGGAAC